CCGACCCGACCCGCCCGCCCGTCAGGATCCGCCCGCCCGTCCCGACCCGCCCCGCCCGTTAAACTAGGGCCCGCCCGACCCGCTCCGCCCGTTGGGGTACTCGCGCGCCAACTCCATGATGCATCGTATTTGAATGTCCCACCCGCCCGACCCGACCCGACCCGCCCGTTACTTAGGGTCTGCCCGCCCGACCCGACCCGTCCTGCTCGTTAGGGTCCGCCCGACCGCCCGGCTGGCCCCTCCCGACCGATAGGCACTCGCGTGCCAACTTGATGACGCATCATACTTTAATGTTCGCCCGCCCGACCCGACCCAACCAACCCAAACCCGTCCCGCTCGTTAGGGTCCGCCCGACCAACCCGACCCGTCCCGCAAATTAGAATACTCGCAAGCCAACTCGATGATGCGCAAAACTTTAATGCCCCGCCCGCCCAACCCGACCCGACCCGACCGACCCGACCCGACCCGAGGAGGAGGAGGAGGAGGAGGAGGAGGAGGAGGAGGAGGAGGAGGAGGAGGAGGAGGGGGGCCGATCCCCCGAACCCCCTGCGACTGCACTGAAGCACGGGACCTCCGACCCTCGACGGCGGCGGCGGCGGGAGGCCCGGCGAGGCGGGCGACATCAGGCGGGGCGCCCGCGGGGCGCGCCAGGACGCACAGCGAGCACCTGGCGTCGAGGCCCCGCGGGACGCAGGGGGCAAGGGGAGGACGGGGAGAGGGGGGGAGGGAGGGGGAGGAGGAGGGGGAGGAAGGGCAGAAAGGGAAGGAGGAGGAGGAGGAGGAGGAGCGCACGTCCCATGGGAGTGCCGTCAACTTACTGTCGAACGAGTGCTGCATGCCGTATTGACATGTGGTGAGCATAGTTGCCGAGCTTCGAAGGGGTTACCGCAAGCTCGGCACGGACCTTCTGGAGTATAGAGTACGCTAAAACCGACAAGCTCGTGGGCACTCTCGATCGTGAGATCGGTGCCTGCATGTTCCTCCTCCGTCCCGAGGCCGAGCCACAGGAAGGGGGGGACGGTAGGATTGTGCAAGCGAGGCAAAGCAATTATGTGAAGCAAGCGGGGGCAGGAGAGGTAGTGGAGGAAAGAGTCGGGGTGGCCAGGGCAGCCAAACCTACAGGGCAACGGCGTGAGGATCTTTACCCTGTGGCTTGTGATGCACCCTCCCGCGAGGGTTTTAAGGTGAGACCACCCTTTGCACGGCCGAGAGCGTGACAGGACTTGACGCAGAGGAGGAGGAGGAGGAGGAGGAGGAGGAGAAGGAGGAGGAGGAGGAGGAGGAGGGCGAGCGACTCTTTTCGTACTTCCACTTCCGCACTTGCGGCTGCCTTAATTTGTTCGCCCATATCTAGACCGGCGTTTATGTTATACCTTGAGGCCCCTCGCACTGACAGGACGCAGCAAGCATTTCGCATAAAGTCCGCTAAACGCAAGAAAGGGCGAGCGAGATGAGGAGGGGGAGGGGGGCATGGGGAGGGAGAGCATGAAGAGCACGATGACGAGAAGGAGAGTCGGGAGGAGGAGGAGGAGGAGGAGGAGGAGGAGGAGGGCGACGACGACGACGACGACGACGAGGACGAGGAGGATGACGACGACGACGATGACAACGACGACGACGACGACGACGACGACGACGACGACGACGACGACGACGACGACGACGACGACGACGACGACGGCGGCGGCGGCGGCGGCGGCGGCGGCGGCGGCGGCGGCGGCGACGGCGACGGCGACGGCGACGGCGACGGCGACGTCGACGACAAGACAGAGAGAAATAGAGAGACAGAGATGGAAGTCGCCGACTCAGCAGAGCCATCCGACTACGGGGTTGGCGCGTAGCGCCGTAGCGCTCAACTGGACATATCGGAAAGAAACAAAAAAGAACGTCCTCCGCACGCAAACCACATTGTCATGCCTTGCGCCATGTTTTGCGAGGAGGGGGTGAAGGAGGAGAAGGGAGGACGTAGGGGACGACGAGGAGGAGGAGCGGCAGAAGGGGGAAGGGGTTGGAGGAGGAGAGGCGGCGGGGAGGAGGAGGTAGAGAGCACAAAAACCACCCTCCGAATAAGCAGCCCGACAAGCCAAGGCGTTTAGCAAACGCGCGTAAGCAAGGAATCTAACAGGGTAGGGCTGCTTAGTCAACGCCCAGGGCCGCCAAGTAAACGACAATTATGGGGGTCGGACTGAGGAAGGATTTCATCGAGTGTTCCATCAACCACCAATCATACCACATCTGGGGGGTATGCTGGCAAAGCGCCGTCGGAGAGGTCAAAATGTCAAAGACCAAACGGCCTGCATTTATCGGGAAAGAGTTGCGCCGAGACGACAGCCCACGAGACGTGTCCTGCCGATCTCGGCGTTCGCGGCCAGAGGGCGCGCGCTGAGAGCGAAAGCGGCCGGTAGCCCGAGGCTCGGGCAGAGGAGGCTCTGTCCAGACAGAATCCTGAACGCGAATGTGTACACCAAGTTCACCCTGGGCGGACCCAGGAGGTGGAGGAGGATGAGGAGGAAGAGGAGGAGGAGGAGGAGGAGGAGGAGGAGGAGGAGGAGGAGGGGGAGGAGGAGGAGGAGGAGGAGGAGGAGGAGGAGGAGGAGGAGGGAGGAGGAGGAGGAGGAGGAGGAGGAGGAGGAGGAGGAGGAGGGAGGCTTCTTCGGGCGCTTCGCCTGGTGCCCGCCGGCGGGCGCGTCGTGGACGCTCGTGGGGCGCTCGCCGCGCGGGCGGCGCAAAAGCTGAAACTCCGGCACGGTGCCCGCCCGCGGGCGCCTCGTCGGCGCCTCGGCGGTCCGGGGTGCGTGCCGAGGCTTCAAAACAGGAGGGAAAAAAACACACAGACACAAGCAATCGTCGATCCCCAAGAAAAGATAGGAAAACATAGGACTTGGGCGGGAAGACAAGAACCAAGAAAATATGGGAGAATATGGGGAAGATTCTTACTTGTGTGCAATTGTGTGTGTGTGTGTGTGTCCTTGGGCCCCTTGAGTTTCGCCCGGTGCCCGCCCGTGGGCGCGCCACACGAGGGAGGCCATGCCAGGCACTCGCCGGGTGCCCGCCCGCGGGCGCCTCGAGTGGGCGCCCCGTGGGCGCCCCGCGCCAAGGAGGGGCATATGCGGAGGCTTCGCCGAGGTGCCCGCCCGTGGGGTGCTTCGCGGACGCGCCTGCGCTTCGGGGGGGCATGCCGAGGTCTCGCCTGGTGCCCGCCCGGGGGCGCCCGGTGGGCGCCCCGCGTTGGGGGGTGTACGCCAACGCTCGCCATCGCTCGGACGTCCATTCCCTGTGTTTTTTGTCGGTTTCGCGCGTGGTTTTTTCGCCAAATGACCAAGGATGCTCCTCGATGGTCCTCGCCGAAGGAAAGATGCACACGTCCGAGCGATGCCCAGAACGTGCCGCCTGGTGCCCGCCCGCGCTTGGGGGGGGGGGGCTGAGGTTTCGTCTGGTGCCCGCCCGTGGGAGCCACGTCGGCGCCCTGCGCTGGGTGCGCACGCCAAGGTTCGCACGTCGGCGCAGTGCCGCGAAGGCGACGGGCGGGCAACCCAGGGCCCCGCAGCGACGGCGAGGCCAGACCTCGGAGGCACTCAGGACGAAGAGCGGCGTTTGCGAGAGCGTGCGTAGGAGCTCTGGCCCCTCCGGCGCCTCCTCCTTGCAAATCGGACGGCAGGCCTCCCCGGCCAGCAGCAGATGTTCGACGTCGGGGGTGCGCGCGGGAACGCCACAGCCGCGTGGAGCGCGCGCCCAAGGATGGTCGATGCAGAGAGACAAGCTGCCGTGGGGCAGGGCCCAGATCCCGCGCACCGCCTCATCGCGTTTCGAATGGCAAGCCCCAAGCAGCCGACGCCAGTGAACGCCTTCGAGGCGATGGGCCCAGGGATTGTCCGTTCCCGATCCATGTTCGACGGCCCCCGTGGCCCGATAACGGGCCCCAAAGGCCGAAATTCCGGAAAACACCCGGATTGGCAAATCATAACGTCGGAGATCTGGGGCTCGGCCATACCGCCGCACACATCGAGCCCGCGACGATGCCCTTCACATCCCCACGCGTGCGACCAGCACCAGCAGGCGTTCCGGCGGCGGCTCTCGGGCACTTTGCTGGAGATCAAGCACGGCTCCCCGACGAAGTTCGGTCGTCACGCCCCGAGGTCCACGCGCATCGACAGGGCGTTCATCAGCCCCCCAACTCTCGCACGCGATCCCGAATATAGAGACCTTCCTCCACGTCGACAGGGAGGCGGCAGAGGCAAGTGACCCGCGCATGATGATCACACGTGCACCACAAGAGGAGGACGTTCAGACCATAGTCGACAGCGTGTTCACCACACCCCAGAAGGCCCACAACCTCAGCCTCTCGAGCCCCTCATACCACGAGTGGACAAGATAATGCCCTCTCTGTAAGATGGAGATGGAGGACACTGAAGGCAAGCATGACGAATGCCGCTCGTCTCACGCGCAACCAGCTCAAGACCAAACTCTGGGGGAAAGAAGTCTCCGTCGGCGCCCAGAAGCCGAAGGCCAGTTGCCTGGCCTGCAGTCTGCGCAGTGGGGGCGGTCTCAAAAGGAGGGCGAGGAGGGGGACCATGAGGAGCAGAAGGGGGGGGGGGGGGGGGGAACTGGGAGGAGGGAGGAGGAGCTAGGAGGAGGGTGGAGGACCACGACGAGAGCGGGCCGCCGAGCCAGAGACGCAGGGACCGCTGCACAGGGGCCGCGCCGACCGCCACGATCTGTGCGCGCCAAGCGCGGACTCGCTCTACGCAGCCTTCGGCTCCGGGTGCTGCCCGGGAGCGACGATGGCAGCAACGCCGACGAAGACCTCTGACGACGACGACGACGACGACGACGACGACGACGACGACGACGACGACGACGACGACGACGAACGACGAACGACGAACGACAAACGACGGCGACGGCGTCGACGACGACGGACGACGGACGACGGGGCGACGGACGACGGGCCGATCGGCCAGCGACATGCTGGCCGCGGTCTCGGCGCGCGTGCGGGCGGCGAGGGGCGGGGAGGCACAGCCAGAAGCACGCGGAGGTTCGCCAGTCCTGCGCGGGGCAAAGGGGGGAGGCGGCGCGGGCGGGGCACGAGGACGCAGGACACAGGAGACTCCTCCTCCTCCTCCTCCTCCTCCTCCTCCTCCTCCTCCTCCTCCTCCTCCTCCTCGTTCTCCTCCTCCTCCTCCCCCTCACGCCCAGACAGCCCAAGAAGGCCCCAGTGGCCAGAATCCCCCGCGAGGACACCGACAGGCCCCCAAGAGGCCCCAAGGACAATGCTGTGGCAACGTACAGGAGCCTCCCGTGTCATCTTGCTGGCTCTTGCGAATCGACGCTGGCCGACGCTAAATCGACGCCAGTCGACGCCAAGTCGGCGCGCCCTCACCGATTGCCAGACACTACCGCACGCTAGTGCACCCTGAAGACGGACTTACCGTCCTCGTCATCGCCGTCGTCCTTGCCATAGTCGTCATCGGCCTCGTCTTCGTCGTTCTCCTCATCGTCGTCGCCCTAGTTCTGAGCGTCGTCATCATACTCCTCCTCGTCCTCGTTTTCCTCGTCGTCCTCGCCGTCGTCGCCGCCGTCGTGCTTGTCATTGTCGTCCTCGTCCTCGTCGTCGTCGATCTCGTCGTCGTCGTCCTCGTCGCCGTAGTCGTCGTCTTCGTCCTCGTCGTCGTGCTCGTCCTTGTCACCGTCGTCGTCGTCGTCCTCGTCGTCCTCGTCGTCCTCGTCGTCGCCGCCCGCGTCCTCAACCTCGTCTCTGTCGCCGTCGCCCTCCTCCTCCTCCTCCTCCTCATCGTTCTGCTCGTCCTCGTCCTCGTCGTGATCGTTGTCGTCGTCGTCGTTGTACTCGTCCTCGTCCGCGTCGTCGTCCTCGTCCTCGTCCTCGTCCTCGCCATCGTCGTCCTCAACGTCGTCGCCCGCGTCCTCAACCTCGTTTTCGTCGCCGTCGACCTCCTCCTCGTCCTCCTTGTCTTCGTCCACGTCTTCGTTGTCGTTCTCGTCCTCGTCGTCGTCGTGGTCGCCGTCGTCGTCGCCCTCATCATCGTCGTCGTCATCGTCGTCGTCCTCGTCGTCGTCCTCGTCCTCGGTTCGCTGTCGTCCTGGTCCTCGTCCTCGTCGTTGCCGTCGTCGTCGTTGTCCTCGTCCTCGTCCTTGGTCCTCGTCCTTGTCCTCGTTGCCGTCGCCGTCATGGTCGTCCTCTTCTGCCTCGTCGTCGTTGCTGTCGTCGTCATCCTCGTCGTCGCTGTCGTCCTCGTCGTCGTCGCCCTCGTCGCCGTAGTCGTGGGTTTGGTCCTCGTCGTCGTCGTCGTCGTCGTCGTCGTCCTGGTCGCCGTCGTCGTGTCCGCGGTCGTCGTTGTCCTGCCCGTGTGGCCCGTCGCGTTCGTTCTCGTTCTCGCCGGGCGGGCGGGCCCGAACGCGCTCAGGTGTTCCACAACTCCTGACAGGCCCGATGAGCTATACCTTACAATATCTTTCTCTCTCTCTCTCTCTCTCGTTCTCTTCTCTCGGGCGCCCCCCCTAGGTGCACAGGCCGTCGGGGGCGAAAATAACTGGGAAATTGCATCAATAAGTTGAAAGAAGCTGGGGCCCCTCGCAGCGGCCAAGCGCACGACACCGTCGTTGCCAGAAGACTGTTTTCGCAGATCCGCTGAGAGCGACGAAGGGGGCCCGAGCGCTGCAGCCCGCGAAGTTGATCAAACCACTTCACTGCCGCATACTGAACAAGGATGTCGGAACTGCGCCCTGGGATAGACTTCTCCATGGCGCTGATAAGAATTGAGTCAACTCTTCATGTCTCCATTCCTCGGCATACTGAGAATCGTAAAGTCTCCCACGGCGTCGGCCTGAACCAGCATCGACAGCAACTCCTCCAACAAATACTTCTTTCGAGCGCGAGTATGTCGGCGGACAGGTAACATCAGTTGTGATCGTGCCGCCATCCTCGAGGCCGCTTCGAGCGTCACGATGCCTTGCTCCACCAGGCGTAGTACTCTCCCACTGCGACTGCGTAGCAACAATCTCTGGTGTGCATTTAGCCGTGGACGTGTCACTTCTTCTCGCACTCGTCCAGGAGCTTCTGTGCTGCTCGCTCCAGCGGTCCCCGAGGAGCGGGGCCCATCTTCACAACTCCTTGATTCGCCTTGAAGACATGCACCAGCATGCTCTCCGTGATGCCGCGGTCGCGGCTGAGAGCGAAAATGTTCTTGGCCATCCCTGGCTGGCCCTTATTCTTCTTTGCGGGTCTCGCGCGACAGTGAAGAAACACCTCCTGAAGCTGCTGCGCTAGTGTGCCTTCGACGTGTTGAGCCCAGAACTGTTTCATCTGCTGCTGTACTCCTTGGCCGCTGATCTCTCCTGTCGCCATGCCCTACAGCATCGCCGTGAACGTGTGGACGTACGGTACTCCGAGAATCTCCAGCTCCTGAACTTTGCCCTGCAACCTCGAGACTTCTTTGTGATACGCGACTCCTGCGGCCTTCATCGCCAGGCATATCGGGTGCGTGCTGACGAGCAAGAGCAAGATTGTACGCCAGAGGATCCCTGTCACTTCTCTTAGCTCCGCGGCGTTGGACAGGGTGACACGTGTAAGAATGAGTACCAGCTTTGCCACCTTTTTTTTTGCTGCTGTCTATGATCTCTGCGGCCTGCCTATTGCGCCTTTGAGCGGCGGGTTCTCCAGTTTCTTCGTGCCATAACCCCCACGCTGGGGCCTTCAGCTCGAACGGCACCGTCGGCAATTCGTAGAGAGTCGAAGGGTGGAGCGTGTGACTGTAGGTGTTCTTGCAGTCCCGACAAGGTGTCAGCTTCGAACGAGCATAAATGGCACCGGCGAAGGTCGGTATGCATAGGGATCATCATCATGATCAGCATCATCATTATCACCACTATCATCATTACCACCACCACCATCATCATCATCATCCGTCATTATCACCATCACCATCACCATCACCATCACCATGCCGTCGTTAATACCAGCATCATTACCCCCCATCACCATCAACATCAGCACCACCACCACCATCATCACCATCACCATCAACATTACCATCACCATGCTCCTCCTCCTCCTCCTCCACCTCCTCCTGCTTCTCCTCCTCCTCCTCCTCCTCCTCCTCCTCCTCCTCCTCATCATCATCATCATCATCATCATCCCTCCCCCGCTGGGCGGTCCTTCGCCCCGCGGCGCTCAGAGCCCGCGAGCCTCTGCTCCTGCCGCGGGTGAGAAATCACAACGGGCAGTTTTCGAGGAGGCGAAGAAGAAGCCAGGATCGGGACAAAATCGGCCCAGGACAAATCGGGAATCTCTGAGATCCGGCGCTTCTGAAGGATGAATCGGGCGCCGCGGTCAGAACGTTCCCGAACGCTCTGGGGCGACTTATCCCTTTCCAGAATCTCTCTGACGTTCGGCTCCTGGGTGCCATCACCAGGCCCTGGGACCGTCAAAAACCCACTCAGGATAAGGAACACATATTTGAAAATCGGTCGTGGGGAAGAGATAAAGGACTCCAGGGGTCCACGATGTGGATTTAGGGGGGTCAAAAGAAAAACTATCTATACGACCACCCTTCGGGTGATAAGGAGGTTGGTGGGGGGGAGAAAGAACCGACTGACGACAACTGCGATGGCGGTGATTATGACGATGTCGTAGCTGGTGATGCTGACATTGAAGACCGCTTGGCGCATCGGGTTCTCTACGATCCCCCCCAAGTCTCACATGGACAACACCAGGACACCATCGAGACACCATGGAAACACCAGCAGGACACCATCAGGACATCCATCGAGACACAAATCGGGACACCATCGGAACACCACTCGGGGCACACCACCAGGACACCACCGAGACACCATCGAAACACCAACAAGACACTATCAGGACACCAATCGGGACACCAATCGGGACACCAATCGGGACACCAATCGGGGCACCAATCAGGACACTATCAGGTCACCATCGATCCGATTATTGATCCCATGATCGATCTCACTATCTATCTCGCTATCGGTCTCCCTCGATCGATCCCACCATCGCTCTCACTCGATCGATCTCACTTTCGATCTCACTCTAGATCTCACTGTTGATCCCACCATCGACCTCACTATTGATCTCATTTTCGATCCCACTGTCGATATAACTATCGATCTCACCACGGGAACCCACGGGACACCGACGGGACTCCGACGGGACACCGAAGGGACACCGACGGGACACCCGCGGGACAACCGCAGGACACCGACGGGACACCGACGGGACACCGTCGGCACACCATCGGGATACCAGTCGATATGATGTTCGACCACCCTGTCGATTTCGCTCGCTCGATCTCACGATCGATCTCACTCGATCGATCTCAATATCGATCTCACTATCGCTCTCACTACCGATCTTACTATCGATGTCACTATCGGTCTGACTATCGATCTCACCATCGATCTCACCACGGGACACCACAGGACACCGACCGGACACCGACGGGACACCCGCGGGACACCGACGGGACACTGACGGGACACCACGGGACACCATCGGGACACCATCGGGTCACCAATCGATCTCATGTTCGGTCTCACTAGCGATCTCACTATCAGTCTTACTATCGATCTCACTCGCTCGATGCCACTATCGATCACACTACCGGCCTCACTATCGATCTCACTATCGATCTCACCACGGGACGCCGACGGGACACCGACGGGATACCAACGGGACACCAACGGACACCGACGGGACACAGACGTGACACCGACGTGACACCAACGGGACACCGACGGGACACCGACGGAACACCGACTGGACACTGACGGGACACCGACGACAAACCGACGGGACACCGACGGGAAACCGACGGGACACCCTCGGGACACCACGGCGGGACAACCCAGCCAGCCACCGACCGCCCACCGCGGGGGAGAGGCGGACAGCGACGGGACACCACGGCGGGACAACCCGGCCACCGCCCGCCCACCAGGGAGGGAGGAGGGGCGGACAACGGCTCTTGAGCCGCCCGAGCCACAGCGGAGTCATCCCTCCCGCCCGCCCACGCAGCTTCGCTTCGCCTCGCCCGCACGCACGACACGAACCCGAAACCGAAACCGACTTCCCGGTGGGGGGCTGCTTTTTCCACCTCGATCCTACCCCCCAACCTCTAACGTCGGACGTATGTGGAGGAGGTTTGGAGGAGCAGGAGGAGGAGATGAGGACCGAGGATCGGGATCGAAGGTCGAGGAGGGAGAGGAAGAGGACGGGGAGGGAGACGGAGGAGGAGGAAGAGGAGGACGACGACGGCGACGAAAATTTGAAGACGACCCCCACTCCGTCCGTGCAACTCTGGGGTTTCAAAACTTCGGGGTCATGAAACGCGAAGCAATATCAGCCGAAACGCCGATGTAGCCCGCCATACCGACACGCCTGGTGGTGCGACGAGGAATGAATTATAGAAAAGGAAATGGAGAAGGAGGGGGAAGGAAGGAGGAGGAGGAGGAGGAGGCGGAGGAGGAGTAGGAAGACGACGACGACGACGACGACGACGACGACGACGACGACGACGACGACGACGACGACGACGACGACGACGACGACGACGACGACGACGACGACGGCTCCAAGACGGTCCAAGCCACCTAAAGAAAGCCCCGAGAGCCCCAAAACGGCCCCCAGACCACCCAAAACGGCCCCAGGGGGAGCCAGGAAACCCCAGGAAGGCCCCGGCAAGCACCTCAGGTGGCCCCTGGGGAGCCCAGAACCGCCCTGAGAAGGCCCCATGACGACCCCAAGGGGAGCCAACGTGGCGCTCTGTAAGATTAAGAAACGCCCCGACGCCTTCACGAGGACTGGTTCTTCATCCCAGGTGGTTTTCTGACGACCCCGTGGCCCCGAAACGGACCCCCAGGCGCCGCAAGCTGGCAATGAAAACAACACAACGTCGGAGGTATCTGCCCCTCCTCGAAATCAAATCGATCCCGCGGATCTGTCCCGGGACGCGTCCTGGCAACAGTTTCAGAACGAATCCAGCCGCGGCCGCGAAGGCGACCCAGGAGCCCCGGAACTTCAACGAAACCTAAAACCTGGACCCTCGCAAGCTGGATCCCCGATCCTCGAAACTAGCTCTGAGTAGGAGGACCCTCTCCTCCGACGTCGCAATACGCTCGTGACGTAGGCCTGTAGGGACCTCAACCCATTCACCAGGGCTGGTCTTTCACTCTGAATCGTTGTTTGACGTTCATAGAGCTGGGAATCGGCCGCCAGAGGCCGAACGCTTCGAGAAGTCGGCCGCGCTGTTTCTTCTGCGGCGCCCGGATGTGAAGAGGCCGAGGAGGGCCGAGGCCTCCTTGCGGTCGAAACTAAAGCTGCGCTGCCCCCTCTCACTCTGGTCCTGCCCGTCGCCGAACGGACGCCAGGCGAGACGCGGCCCATGCCGTCGCAGCCCACTGGTTGTGCACACAGCCCCAGATGCCTCGCAAACAGCGGCTCGCAGCACGAGCTGCGCCCCCAAGGTTCGGGAAAGGACGGGGGGGGTTGAGGCCAAGCGCGCTGGAAGCGCGTCCGAACGGCGGCCCTTTCCAGGAAGCCGCGGGATTTCAAGTGCCTATGCGGAAAAATTGATGCGGGCCTGCCCTCGCAGCGGCCTGCCTGGGACAGCCCCCGCAAGGCCTATCTGAAGAAAAAACGCGGGGAGAGGGGAGGGGGCGCTGCAGAAGGCCCAGGTGGAGCCCCGCTCAAGAACAGCGCGAGGGAGGGAGCTCCCCTGGCCACCGCTGGGGGCGAGGGGCCCCCTCCGAGAGAAAAGAGAGGGGGTCGACGGACAACGACTCTCTCGACGTGAGGGGGGAGAGGGCACCGCCGTGACGTTGCGGTGCACGCGGGCGGGCGGCAGCGGCGGCGGGAGCGGCGGCGCGCGCGTCGGCGCTCGCCCTCCCCTCAGCCTCCCAGCCGCCCTCCTCCCAGGGCCCACGCCGAGTGCCAATCCCCCCTAGGCCATTGCCAAAGGGGAGGGGGAAACAAAAAGCAACTCACGACAAACTCTTTATGGCAGCAACAACAACAACAACAACACCACCACCACCACCACCACCACCAACAACAACAACAACAACGACAACGACAACGACAACGACAACGACAACGACAACGACAACGACAACGACAACGACAACAACAACAACAACAACAACAACAACAACAACAACAACAACAACAACAACAACAACAACAACAACAACAGCAGCAACAACAACAACAACCACAACAACAACAACAACAGCAACAACAACCACAACAACAACAACAACAACAACTACTACTACTACTACTACTACTACTACTACTATTACTACTACTACTATTACTACTACTACTACTACTACTACTACTACAACTACTACAACTACAACTACAACTACAACAACAACCATCAGTTTGAGACTGTTCGCTCCTATCTGCTCACGTGCGAATCAATACGTATATCCCAAACCCTCGGTACCCGCCCTCGTCGTCTTCGATCGTACCCCCTTGGGGATATATCTTCCTTACCTGCCACATGTATTTAGTGCAGCCCCTAAAGCAAGGGAAGTGAGGACGGGTGGAAGGGGGAGGGAGAAGAATGGAGCACGAGAGAAATCAGCAAGAGGGGGGCAAGGAGCAGAAAACAAGTGGTAGAACCAGACGGGCAGATCGGGTGGGCAGACCCATAGCGGGCAGGTCGGGAAGGCGGGCCCAGCCCCTGCGTGGCCCCGTGGCGTTGCTCTGGCGGCAACCCACGACGGGCGGGCGATCCTCTGACGGGCGGGTCGGGCGGGTGGGACATTCAAGCGGGATGCCTGAGTAAGGCGAGGGCGCAATTCCTAAGTAAAGTGTGACTGCGTCCTTGGCGCGAGAATGGTGCCTGAGCGTAGATAGCGCGATCGCTGCATAAACTGCGAAAACGTTACAGGCGAGAGCGCAATTCCTGAAAAGGGGATGTCTGACGGGAGCGGGGGTCTAGACTAAAGCGCAAGGAAATCTTAAGCGGGAGCCTCCTGAGTAAATTGTGAGGAAGCCTCGGACGGGAGGGGGGGTCCTGACTAAATTGCGAGGAAGTCACCGGCGGGAGCGCCGATCCTGAGTAAATTGTGAGGAAGTCTCAGGCGGGAGCGGGGGTCCTGAGTAAAATTGGAGGAAGTCTGAGGCGGGAGCCGTTGTTGTTGTAGTCCGGGGGAGCTGCAACGCAGGT